CATATGCAAGCTCATGTGTAAATTAATAAGAATTTTAAATATCATGAAATAAAATCATAACCATATGCTGTTTGTAATACTCAAATATGACTTGCACGTGATAAAAATCTTGTATTAATTCATATCTGAGCATGCTTTTCATCTTATGCCGGCATATTCACTTTTCTGTTTCTCTTTCTACTTGTTTGTTTTTCTTTTTTATTTAAATATGTATTTTTTCATGGAAGTATATTGTTCTATGCAGCATTTAATAGAACTATACATTGTTTTTCGTGAATTTCAATTCAGAGCACCTGTTGGGTTTATCCATATATATGTACATATATATACGATGTACATAGAATACCACCAAAGAGTCTCGCTTCCATGTCACTCTAACCCAAATAATGCAAAAATGAGGCATTTTACTTTAAATGGAATGTATGCATAAAATACTAATATCAAGTTTTTAGAACACTTACAAAAAATTCAGTTGAAATATTGTCAACGGCCTTAGCCACGTAGGCTCTACCGGTACCCGTAAGATCACCGAAGTTAAGCAAGCTAACTTGGGCACGATCCACCTAAAGATAGGTGGCCATGTGCTGTTGACTCGAAAAATACGAAATAATGATCCAGAGAGACATTAAAGGCCAATAAATAAGTTCATTTGGACAATGTAGAAGTATAAAGGACACTCGGTTGTTACTTCTGAAACATATTCCTATGGAAAAAAGCTATACTGAAATATTTTATATTGCTAATACCATTAACTTATACTGCAAACAATATTTATAAATCTCTCGTAATTTCTGTGACAAAGAAAAGTTTATATAATTGATAAGATTATACAAAAGTATTATATTGATGTAAAATTGATCAAAAAATATTCATGACATTACATTCGGTAACGGATAATAACGTAAATGGTATAGGAAGCATCACCATTGTTACCGAAGCTGGAACCCGATGTACTAGGCATGGGAGTAGGATTAGGAGTGGGAGTAGGAGTAGGAGTTGGGGAGGACAGCATGGACGCTGGTGGTCCACCGTCCGTTGGATCTGCAGAAGCTCAACCGGTGCTCTCCAATACTCAAACACCTGTGTCGACTAAAAAGGTAGGCCTTATCGTGACATTATTATTTTTTACAACTTGATTATATATTTCATTTTATTTGTTTCGTTTTATTTTTTATTTAGAAAAATATGCCAGCATATTTTTTGTTTTTGCACCGTTTCAGCATTGTTATTTAACATTAGAATGACGATTAGATGTTTTATCCGTGAAGGTATAATATCAGTATTCGTTACTGTAAAACGGTGACATTATAATTTGTGTTTTCCTCTGTTTAGAAAACGGCGGGTAAGAAATTAGTTACGGGCTATATTTTATATTCGAGTAAAATGCGAACGCAGATTACACAAAACAATCCTGAATCATCCTTTGGGGAGATTAGCAGAATTGTTGGTAACGAGGTATTTATTTTTTACTGTTGATTTTGTAGTTTACTATAAGAAATTATAGAAGAAGGAAAGTATGCAGATTAAATGTTTCAAGTATAATATTATGAAGGAAAGTTACCGAATTCTTTTATGAAATGCTATTGAGGGATTATATCATTCTGCATGCTTCATCTTTCTTTCAAATACCTTACGTTTATTTCGAGGCTACTACTCATGATTTTCTCATCAAGACAACAGATGTTATTACTATGATAAAAGTTATTATTTAAATGTAAATACTGTACGCAATCTATGGAACTTACATAAACGCACTCATCAAATACTAATTATGTAAATATTTAAATACACAGTGGGATCTTGTTATCTAGTCCTAAACGGAACTGTGGAAGCGGGAAAATTTGTAGGAGTAACTATATGAACGGAACTCTTTCTCTGCGGCGCTTGATTTTCAAAGCACTTCCGTTATCAGTCTATAGCCAGAAACTTGAAAATTTCTACATTTTCATATCTTTAAGTTTAAACAATTCTAAATTTCTGAATTTGAAAATGTCATCTTTATATTTTGAAATTTTGTAAATTCAAGATTTCTATGTCTAAATATGAATATTTATAAAGATTAAGTTTCTACATCTCTTTCTAAGTGTTACTATGCATGAAAATCCATACAAAATAGAACTCGCTCAACAGGCCATATAGCGAGACTGTATTGTAAATGAAAAATAGCTATGATTGAAAATAACTTTTATCATTTTCTAGATTCGATAATGAAAAAGGTTTGAAAAACTGTTCTCTAAACAAGTTATTAGAATAGAAGAAAAAGATGTACAAAATGTATTTTTTCAATTTCAGTGGAGAAAACTGCCAGCAGGAGAAAAACAAGCATGGGAAGAAAGAGCAATTAAAATGAACGAGGATGGCGGACAACTTAAAGGAAACGCTGTTTCAGTAGGCACTAACGCTTTACAAGATGTAGTGTATGAATGTTGTTGGGATAATTGTGATTGGCAATTTGAAGATATGACTGATTGTATTGACCATTGTATTGCTGAGCAAAATGGACATGTTCAATCATCTTTTATTAACGCCCCTAGTGGTAAGTATATCATATTGTTTTTAATACTATTAAAAATAAAGGTTTAAAACTTATATTTTAACAGATGTAGAATTTCAATGCCAATGGCGTGGTTGTGGTCGTACAAAAAAATCTGTACCTCCATTTCCAAGTGTACAAAGACTTGCAAGGCATGTTAAAGAAGTTCATATTCTTAAATCAAATGGACGTATTATACCCCCTACAGAAAGAAGCAAGTAAGTTAAATATTACTAGCTTCATATATTTATAAGTTCATAATATGATATATGTTTCATTCTTATTTATATTTTTTTAATTTGTATTAAAGAAACTACATGGCATCAAAAGGTCCTACAGTATTGCCACCAATGGAAACAGGTAATTTTTTTGAACAAATATAAAGTAATTACTATTTATATTTTTCATATTTTTATGCGTGCATTTATTTTACTACAGAAACGTCAGCAGCCGCGACACAAACAAGCAATATACCAGTCATTAAACAACCTGAACCAATGTTCGTTGCTGTTCCTCCAAGACCAAGTCGTGTATTACATTCGGATGCCTACTTACGGTAAATTAATTATTATTTTTAATATTTTTCTGTCATAATTTTAGTTCAATTTATGCATTTCCTGAAATATGTTTTTATTTATTTTGTAGGTACATTGAAGCATTAAATGTAGAAAATCGATACATATCAAATTGGGATAAACAAATGAACGCTAATCCTGATAATACACAAATTCCTGATGTAACAAAATTACCCGTTGAATGGCTAGGTAATGGCGTGGGCAACCATGGAAATGTGGTGAATGCATTATGGACGCTTAAGAACATGATGATGAGAGATGTGTTAGCCATTAATAAAACTTTATAGCTTATAATTCGTTAAGATCTATAATCTTTAATATTCGATGCAACCTTAAAACAATTTTCAGGTCCGTCGATGCTAGATGAAAGACTGAAAACTATTATTTGAATATGAGTTTATTTATACTTCTAGATCATTTTTCTCATTTTACAATTCTTACAGCAGTGTTTACTGATTTCCGATGTATAAGCTAAGATACTAGGAAATTGACTTAAGAAATTTTTAAAGATCTGCCTTGTATTAATTACAAATAATTCAGTTTGGAAAAGGTTAATTTTAATTTTTTCACTGAAACATGTTATGAACGTTATTTTTAAATATATCATCTATGGATCTGTTAGGAGTAGGACGAAACTATAATGTAAGGATCACCACTATGTACATATTTCGCTATTTTTAATTTTAACTTTTCATAAACAAATTTTGTATTTTGTGTATCGCGCATCATGAAAGTGTGACTTGGAAATTTCTGTATTCATATTGTAATATGAAATTGTACTGTAAATATAAAATAATGCACTATAGAAAACAATCTAATATGGACAACAAGATCACTTTTTATTCACTTTTCTAAATGGAATTTGTATGTAAAAAGTCAAGCAAATAATAGCTATTATTAAAATTTATTATTGCTATTTTAATGATTTTATTAAATGAAAATATTATGATTTTAAAATAGATATTAAGCTGTATGTAATTAAATATGAAAATCTTTCATAGTATAGTTGTATAAAAAATTCTTCATAACCAACAACTGAATTATTCTAAATAATTTTTTTTATTTTGTATGAAATTCATTATATTTTTATTAACTACAATTTATTGTCAACCATTTTTTTCATATATGACAAATATTTAACAATTATTATCTTATAGTGCAGTGAAGGAAATATTTCATTTGACATTAACAGTTCAATACATGATATATGGAATCTCTACATATCTTTACAATTTAGATGCAAATCATAATTTTTTCTCAAACTTTGAATATATGTTTATATTATTAAATCAAAATGATGCATTAACTATATTTTTTTTTATTAGAAGTCACTCACTCGTCCACCGTGTTGCCAATCTCCCCATTTTGTTGGATCTTTCTCGCTATCTGTTATTACTTCTCCATTGATTGGATCAATTTCTACTAGTACCAAATCTACAAATCGTTCCCTTGGTGGTACTCCTATTATTATATATATCTATAATAATTATGTTTACTTCTTACAATCTACATACTATTTACAAGTCCTATTTATATTACTTGGTATAGGTTGCAATTTTAATTTTTGATGAAACTGTTTCATTCTTATTGATTCTTCTTTTTTATTACCTGGATTTGATTCACTAGCTTCTAATAAAGTAGCTAAATACAAGAAATGTACATGGTTAAGATATCAAAGTGTGTTACAAATTAAAACTTTTACACTTCATACTTGTTACAAATTGCCTGCATGTGTACATAGGCTGTTCCTCTAAAATTTTATTCAGACAGTTAATCCTAGTAGCACCAATACGATTTAAAAATAATTCTAACTTTAAGATATTCATATTTACATTTATCATTGAAATGATTTGCAAAAACAATTAAATTTCACAATATTCTTTTGTCACGGTTTTAACAAAACACAATACAAATACAGTATGTATTGGTACATAATTTCCAATAAATTGATCAAATATTAAATATTCAATTTCAATATTATTTAATAAGCTTTTATTTTTATACTAAATCTTTAATTCTTTCCTAAATTGTAATATTTTATTCTAATTCTTTATTTATATCTACAATATTATTAAATACTATATACATATCTTTCTACAAAGACTAGAATTTCTGTATCTAGAAATCTGTTACTCTGCCTTTTCTTTCCCAATCTCCATATCGAGTTGGTTCTGGTCCACGGGGTCCTCCTACCTCACCTGTTTCTGGATTAGTATCATTTGGAAATGGTTTCAATGGTTCTTTTTCTTGATAAGGATGTTTTCCTTCTTCCAATTCTTCTAATTTCTCTATTAAACATTGAATTATGTTGACTGTATTTATTTTATTAAAATACAGACTAATTCTTGAAGAAAAGTTATAGAATAAATTATGTATATTTATTTTATTAACTTATGAAACATAGAATCCAATCTATCATTAGAGTCATATTTAACTTTATGAGCAAACAGAACGTGAATTGAATGTAACTCATTTAGCATTTACTGTTTTAAAATAATATTATCATACTTTTGCACTAAATATTTATAATAACATAAATATATACCAATAGGCGTCCGTTCCCTTAGCTTTTTTCTAAATTCGCGCATCCTTGGACTTTCAGTTGTTTCATTTTCCTTTGCAAACAATACCTGAAATTCTAAAATAAAATTAGCATTCCATTCATTAAATTATATAGTACCATGCTTGTTGCATAAATACTTACTTGTATACAAAAGATTATTCGAAGATTTTGTAGTATTATTATTTGCTTTTAGCAATTTACTAAACTCCAGAGTGTTTCGAGTAAACATAACCTTAATCATCATTAAGCTTTTATTTACAAACGTGTTAACCTACGTTCTGATGTGGTTCCTAGAATTACCTTTCTGAAATGTAAAGTGCATAATGAAACAGTAATAAACATGGAAAGTAAGCATGTAATATCAAGAATTTTATTATTTATGGAATTGGAAATTAATACTGTAAATTAAGCATAATACGTGCCAATGTATGGATGTTATTGCCGAAAGCATGAACCTGTTACCCTTGGTTGCTATTTTCCCCAGAGAAGCCAGATTTTGCACTTGAATATATGCGTTATCTCATTTTGATATAGCTAATAAAGTGAAAGTACTGAATTAATTCTGAAAATCAATATATATAAATATATTTTTGTGTAAAGAAGGTCGTTTTCCATCTTTCATAATAAATCATTAATTATATATAATTTTTATTTTTTGAATTTAATGTGTAAGAGGTAATATTAAAAAAATAGTATAAAGAACATATATAAAGTTAATCTAATCTGTATTATTTTTTAATGTAATTATTTTCATTTATTTTTTATTGATAGGTTGAAGAATATGTACATATTAATGAAATTTTTCTAAAAAAAAAATATAAATATAATAAACATAGAAACTGGAACCATTTAAACAAATATAAAGAAATGTTAATATTTATTCAAAGCTATATTTTTGTATAGAATACTACCAAAGGTAAGTTTTCATATTTGACAATTGTTACTTTCTTGAAAGAGCTTTATTATAACCTTGATAAAAGGAAAATATTTATCAATACATTTAGATATATGATTTTAATATTTTAATTTAATTCCATTTATAAAATGAATTTGAAGCATATTAATCGTAAACAACTTAAATTACAATTAAAAAATTTCTGTTTTCTATATGCTTCTCTGTTTTTGTATGAGAAAGAAAAGCTAGCCATGAAAAAATTATTCATTTGTATATAACACTTATACGTAAAAAGTTCTTGTATAATTTTTATTTATAACGTCATATTAATTTGTGGAAAAAATTAATATATTTGTGAATTGATGTCTAATTCTAATGCATAAACTGCATTATATCAAAAGAGAAAAGGAATATGTTGTTACATTCTTCTAAATCTTCAATTTTGGAACATGTCATGATTTTTAGCATTTGCAATGTTGTTTTTACCTAGACCAAAAAATAATATATTATCAAATATATCATGTACATTTCGACAACAAAATTATAGATTTATTAAAAAAATGACTGTAAGAGATGCATTAAACTCTGCTCTTGATGAAGAATTAGCTCGTGATGAGAGAGTATTTATTCTTGGTGAAGAAGTTGCAGAATATGATGGTGCATATAAAGCAACAAAAGGTCTTTGGAAAAAGTATGGAGATAAAAGATTAATTGACACACCTATCACAGAAGCTGGTTTTTGTGGTATAGCTATTGGTGCAGCACTTGCTGGTTTAAGGCCAATATGTGAATTTATGACCTTTAATTTCTCTATGCAAGCCATTGATCGTGTAGTAAATGGGGCTGCTAAAAACTGTTACATGAGTGGAGGAATATATTCTGTTCCTGTTGTATTTCGTGGTCCAAATGGTAATGCTAAAGGTTTGGCTGCACAACATTCTCAGTGTTTCGCATCATGGTATATGAGTGTACCTGGCTTAAAAGTTATGTCACCTTCAACTTGTGAAGATTATAGAGGATGTATAAAGTCTGCAGTTCGAGACCCTGATCCAGTTGTAGTTTTAGAAAGTGAACTGCTTTACAATATTGAATTTCCTGTATCAGATCAAGCTATGGACAAAGATTTTACAATACCTATTGGTAAAGCTAAAATTGAAAAACCTGGAAAACATATTACTTTAACAACACATGGCCAAGCTACTCTCTATACAATGCAAGCAGCTGAAATTTTAGCAGGTCAAGGAATAGAAGCAGAAGTAATTAATTTACGGTCTCTTAGGCCACTAGATTGGGATACAATTTTTAAATCAATTTCAAAAACTCATAGATTAATGACTGTAGAGCTAGGGTGGCCTAGGTGTGGAGTAGGTTCTGAAATTGTGGCTACAGTAATGGAAAATCCAGTATTTTTTGAGCTTGATGCACCAGCTGTTCGTTGTACTGGTATTGATGTGCCTATGCCATATGCAGAAACTATTGAATATGAATGTACACCAAAAGATCATCATATTGTAGATTTTGCTAAAAAAATTTGCAGTGTAAAAACATAAATTAATTGTGTGTTTTATAAATAAAATTTATCTTCTTAAAAAATTGTTTAACAAATGTTTATATATGATGATATATAATTTGCAGGAACTATGTTAATTAAAAAATGATAACTTCATTTTCTTTCTTAAAATACTAATCTTAAGGAAGTAATTGAAAAAATACTAAAGTATTAATGCCATATAATTTAAAATATTTGTTTTAGTTATGCATTTCTATAAAATAAAAAACAAAGGCAGAAGATGAAATGGTGTATGGGCAACTATAACTGCAATTTAATGAAATGGAAAACTAAAAAGAATAAAATACATTAATAACTTTAACACAAAGTACTGTAATGGAACTGAAATTATAATTAATGTAAGTAGTATAGAAGGAACATATTTATATACAACTAGTAATGATGTACAGCCCACAAAGAAAGATATTGTGGTTTGCAATAATTAGTAGAATAGTTGTTTTAATTTTTCAATTTATTTTTAATATTTTGTGTCCTGACCATGATGCAGATGCATTCAAAGGTCCCATAAGTAATTCTGAACAAGTTTCGTTATGCGATAATATAATTACATTATTATTTAGTGGTCTCTCGCGATGGGATGGTGAATATTTTATACATATTGCAAAATACGGTTATGTGTATGAAAACACCTTAGCTTTTTATCCATTATACCCTATATTGATTCGTATTATTGCTATCCCTATACAAAAAATATTTTTTGTATTGAATTTTAATAGTTCTCTCATACTTGCAGCTGTATTAATTAATTTTGTATGTTTCATTAAATCTGCTATTATATTTTATGATCTTAGTAAGATAGTATTAAGAGACAAAAATATTTCATATAAAGCAACAATACTTTATTGCATAAATCCAGCAAGTATATTCTTTTCTGCTATCTATACAGAATCTTTATTTGTCTATTTATCATATTATAGCATGTTAAGATCTATAAAATTAGATCCATATGTATCTTTCCCAATAGCCTTGTCCATTCTTACAAGATCAAATGGTATGGTTAATATTGGATTTCCTATATATTTTAGATTAAAAAGTTTATTCCATAGTTTCTTAACAAAACATCCAAATTTCTCATTAAAAACATTAAGTAAATTTATGTATGAAATAACAACTTTAAAAAGCATTTGTGTAATATGTAATATAATAATTATATCAATGGTTCCATTTATTTTATTACAAATACATAATTATATTATGTTTTGTATTCCTAATTCAAACTACATGTTTACTTCTGAACATATCATAAATTATGGCATTAAAAATAATTTGGTAATAGCAGGGACCAATAATAGTGAGTGGTGTAACTTGAAAATTCCAGTAGCATATGCCTACATACAGAAAAAATATTGGAATGTAGGATTTTTAAATTACTATGAAGTAAAGCAAATACCAAATTTTGTTCTAGCAATTCCAATACTTTATATTATGATTACTTGTATAAAAGAATACTTTCTAGAACATAAAAGATATTTTTGTACACTTGGATTTATTCAAAATTTTAAAAGCAAAAAAGAAATTAAAACAAAAAAATATCCGATGGAAATGTTAGTATTTGTTGTTCATGGTTTATTCTTGACTGTATTTTGTATTCTTTTTATACATATTCAAGTCAGTACACGTTTAATATGTTCAGCAAGTCCATTAATATATTGGTATTGTGCTTTAACATATACATCTGATTCTAATAATGACACAGCATATGAAAGTGAAGAAAATGCGTGTTCTAAATGGAAAGTATTTTTTTTTAAACAAAGGAAGTATTCTTTACAAGATAAATTAATATTATTATACTTTTTAGGATATACGGGTATAGGTTGTATCATGTTTTCTAACTTCTTACCATGGACATAAATTATGTCATGTTGAAAAATTTAAATATTTATTATTTATATATGTACATATAAATATTATAATACTTTTATTGCTTTGTAACTGATGTAAATACACGATTGCATATATGTATATCAAATACAAAATGTATTTTTATAGTATAAAAAGGTTTATTTAATATGTGACTTCCTGTGTTTAAGTATTTCAATTGGTGTCAGATATAGTGTTTGTGCACAATCCGGGCAATCGTAAGCTTGTGCATTAGATTTACGTTTAACATTGTTGGAACGTTTCTCAGTTTCATTTGTTTGCTGTTTATTACAAGACTGTTGATGCTGCAATTTCTGTATACTTGTAAGAATTGCTTGCATATTACAATTCTGACATTGCCATTCTGTTTCTGACATTTCTAAAGAAAGCTTATCACTCCATTCTGTTTCCCTCACACTAAAAAAAAATTATAGTTTATGGATTTTGCAAATTATATCTTGTTGATTCATAACAATTAATTATTAATAATTTACCAATTATATGTAATAATATTTGTTACATAAACTCCTCCTTTTATTAAATTGGGAATTACCACAAAATCAGATTGAAATGGATTGGAATCTATTGATATGTTATTTTCATTACTTCCCGTATATATTGTTTTAAGATCAGCTGGTAAAAGTCGTTTTAATGTATATGGAATTGTGGTATGCATATAGTCAATCAATTCTTGAGTAAGAGTGTATTCAATTTCGCTAAAATCTTGTTTCTCACTATCATTCGTGTTTGGATCTATAAAATATTTATGATAGTTAATAATATTAGTAAATTAATTTTTCTTAATTTATTCTTTAATATACGTTAAATAGTAATCTTTTATCTTTTCATCATACTTTAATATTTTACTAAAATCAAAATAATACCTTGTAATCGTTGATTTAATAAAAAGTCCCATTTATACCGTAATTTTGTAGCTTTCATTAATAACGTTTGACCACTATCAGGAACTGGAAATTCTAACGCTAACCATGAATCACATACAATTCTATGAAATATAAAGCAATATAATATATTAGAATTTTTTGTTAAATAAATATATACATACATACACGTATAATATATATAATATATACTCACATTGAAAATGTACTATTTGTATCAATTTCACGTGCGAATAAAAGTAACGTTTGCGCAGCAGGCATTCGAAGTGTATTCACTAAATAAGGCTTTGTCGTCTCTAAAAGAGATCTATTAGTAAGAGGATAAGTTAACATGCGTTCAATGAAAAGAATAATTTATGTTACTGTAAAATAAGTTAAAAACTTACAAATATGCTAATATTGTATGTTTCGGACTGACCGGACTTTTGCTTTTGTATCCTGGTATCGATACAATATCAGTTTCTTCTAGTTGTAGTACTTGTGGATGATTTCCAAAAAAACTCATTGGATGTAAGGCAATATATGGTTTCGCTTTTGTATGAAATAATTGTTCACTCATTGACTAAAAATGTATATTATTTATCATTGATTAATTAAATTATTTCAAGAATACAAATTAACATTACCTTACAATAATTAAATTCATCTGCACATGCAAACTGCGGATATAAGCCACTGCATAATATTAATTTTAACATTGTTAAGTCTTTGTAACTACATGCACTAGCTGCTATCAATAAATTTTGAACTTGATTGGGATCATTTCTCATACGGAATTCAACATCCTTTATATCAATTTCTTTGTCATCGTTATCATTATCTTCTAATTGTATATCAAATGATTCTAACTTTAATTGTTTCCGCTTTCTAGGTTCGCTTTGTTTATAAGTTCTTTTTAAGGACTTTAGGAGCTTTAATTCTCCATGTCTTATTGCACGTTCTGCACTGCTCATAGAAGAGTTTGGTTCTGGAAGATTTTTTAATAAATTACAATCCTGTAAATCATAAGTGTTAAATAATAAAGAGAGAAGATTTTATAAATTGATAATAATAAATGAATATCAATTTACCTGAAGTAATTCTTTAAACTGTGCTCTTAATTTTATCATTTCATAAAATCTTTGTTCCTCCAAGCCTCTTCTTTTACACCACTTTCTGCTGCTAGTACCAGTACCTCTAGATTCTTGGGAATTTTGCTGTTTCACTTCTAACCATTCTCTAAATGCATTTAGTAATGTTATTGGGTCACCATGATCAGATTCCAATTTTTTTCTAGATGTCTAAAGTATTGAATTAGTATGTAATTATAATAAGTTGAAAAAAATGTATAAATTAGATTAATATTACCTCACATTCTGAATCCCTATATGCTCTATTCGTAAATGGTGTTTGTATACTTAAAGCAGCAGCAAGGGATAATACTGGTTCTACTTGATGAAAAACCGAACCCATTATTAACATTTTCCCTATTGTTATATCGACAGGTAAACGTGCAAGTGTTTTCCCGATACATGTTATTTTTTCATTATCCGTGAGGGCACCCTACAGATAAAAAATATTTAATTTATTTTTTAGTTTGTATTTAATATGTATTAATAATGTTCATTTAGTTAGTTTTTAACATACTAACATGTTCTTTCAAAGACAAAATTGAATTTTCTATACTTTCTGACGGTGGCGGTTCTATAAAAGGAAATTTTCGCGCATCTGGAAGCCCCATAGCTATCATTTGTAAAAGTAAAGAGTCTAAAGGCACACGTTGTAATTCTGGAGTTGAGTATTTTTCTAATGCCATATATTCTTCTTCCGAGTATAATCTATGTAGAAATATTACATTCACAAATTAATATGTTATAATTAAATGTAAAATTATAGAATTTATTAAAATACCTATAACAGACTCCAGGTCCAGTTCTACCAGCTCTTCCTTTTCGTTGTTCTGCACTAGCTTTGCTAATCCAAAATTCTTTCAATCGTTGCATTTTGCATGATGGATCATAACTCATTTCTTTTACTTTCCCGCTATCACAAACAAATCTAATTCCATCTATAGTAATAGAAGTTTCAGCTATATTAGTAGATACTATACATTTTCTCGCTCCTTCAGGTGCATAATCAAATACCTTCAATAAGATAATTTATATAGTATAATATTTATAAATATGAATATTTGTTAAAGTAAACCTATATTTGAAAAATCGTACTTTATCTTGTTCACTGATAGCTAAAGTACTATGAAGTGGTAAGACAACCCAATTATTCTTCTTCTGACTATATTCTTTTGCTGCATCAACAACTGCAGTAATTTCACTCATTCCACTTAAAAATATCAATAAATCACCCTTTTCATCAGCTGAAAATATGAATTATTAATGATATGATTAAAAATATAATTTTATTTAACAAAATATATTTTCTACCTGGATATTTCTGATCAATCATTTGCATTATTTGTATGTAAGGGCTTGGATTGAATCTATCATTCTTGTATCGAAAATCTTCTATTGTAATAGGTCTATATGTTAGTTGAATAGGATACAATCGTCCAGGAACCTATATATAACAATTATCATAAGAATGATTAAAAAATAATTAACAGTTCACATAATTACAAATTCACCTGAATTATTTTAACATCCTCTTTTGCAAAATAATTACTAAAGAGCTCAATATTAATAGTAGCAGACATAAGGACTAATTTTAGGTCATGTTTTTGATTAATAATGCACTTCATAATGCCAAGAAGAAAGTCTCCATGTAAATGACGTTCATGCACTTCATCCAAAACAATGACATCATAAGGTAACAAATTAGATTCTCCAGACAGCTATATGAAACATATAATATTTTAATATTTGCAATACCATAATTTTAATACATAGTTATAATATTATCGATTTTTACCTGTCTCAATAAAAGACCTTCTGTTATAAAAGTAATTTTAGTATTTTGATTTCTTTGTTTCTCAAAACGAATTTGATATCCAACCTCATTACAATTCTCAGTGAGTGTTTCAAAAGCAACACGCTTAGCTAATGATATACAAGCTATTCTCCTAGGTTGTGTACAAGCTATAAAAAATAGTTTCAATGAGATAATTAAATTTCATTAAATATTTTGCTTTACTTTATATAATTTCAACACTTACCAATTTTTTGAAACCCTGCTGAATATAAATACTGTGGCACTTGCGTGGACTTTCCGCAACCAGTATCACCAGCTATAATAACTACTCTCTCTTTTTTTATTGTCTCTGTAATCTCTTGCTTGTATTGATGAACTGGTAAATTTGTTTGAGATTCTCTAAGTTTTTTTAGTTTTGCAAATTTTTCTTTCTGTTTAAAATCTAAGTATAAAATAATTATATTCTGAAACCTTAGTAATTGATTCTTTGTTAATGTTTCAGTCGGTGGAACACGTGCAAATAACTCATTAAAATTTGAACTTAGTTTAAAATTAATACAGTGTAATTTATGATATATTTTTGGTACACTGATATCATTTAATGAAAAATCAATTGAAGTATCAGGAGTATTAAGTTTCTTTTGCACAGTTTCATATTTATTAACAAATTTCCAAAAGTCTTCAGTATCCTGTACTATACTTAAATTTCCTGAGAACATTTTGTTCAATTCATATTTGTATTTACTAAAATAAAAGTTGTTGAAACTTTGATCAGATTTATAAGTTACTTGAGAAAAATTGCTTTCTTTGTCAGTTGATATAATTTCTTGATTATATCTTATTTTAAGCGGTGATTTTGAACTATGACTTTTCTTTCTTTTTCGTCTATCATCATATTGATATTCACGTTTACTTTTGCTAGCAAAATCGTGCTGTGAATTCATACTGTATAAAAGGCGTTTTCATACCATAACCTTAAAGATATACAAACATTTTTGTGTATTCTTTACAAACATGATATTAACACCAATTTCATTTATTAAATCTTTATTATCAACTGCAATTATTGCACAAATGAACAATGTCATACAGTAACATCTATTATTTTTTGAACGTTACATACAAAATATATATACTTGAATGTATTTACTATCATACCATGATCTTCAAAGTCTACAGTATTATGTAAATAATACGATGTATATCATTATATAATTGACATACAATGTATAAAACTTTCCTGTAATGTTATTCACATAATAATTCACATAATATTATTCACATTCCATATTAATTTGCCGGACGTTTATTCAGCTTCCAATAAAAATATTGAAATGAAATGATTGGTAAGATTTAATAACAATAATACATTTATATTTAATTAGCATTTATTAGTTTTAAATGTGTACTTAATCATATAAAATTTTTCTAATATAAGAAACACAAAGTATTTATTATAATTTCAGTATGTCCATTCAATATTTACGTATTTTTCCTAAAAATTAGAAACGTATGCGCCTCATAAACCTTGTAGAGATGCGACATCGATAACATTACTGGTATGTATCGATGATTTAATATATCGATAATATTGTTAAGACAAATGGGAGCGACTGAAGTGGAATGTAATATGTATATAATTTTATTACTCAAGTCTGATATTCTTGTTTCAAGTTCAAACAAGAACTTTTTCGAAATAAAACAATACTTTATTTAATATTTAAATAAATTAAATAAGTTTAAACACAGATTTACATAATAAAATTTTATATTCTATTTCAATAAATCCTATTACCCTCAATATTATCGATATATCGTTCAGTATTACATGTTAATAGAATATCGATAATTTAAAGATAATCGCAGTGGCGTTTTTAAAAATAACATTCAAAGACTTACCGAAAGTTACTTTTATAAAAATGGAAGTTATTAATGATAATAATTATAGCAAAAATTCTAAATGTTTTTATTTTTAAATAAAACATTTATGTAAATGTTTTATAAATAATTATATAAAATATAATTATATTTTTCTTATTTTTCTGAAAGGGGGATTCTTTATTCAGCTTATTATACTGCAGTTAGAACCACAAGAAGATAAATTAATCATACAAAATAATGTTATTTTCAATAGGGATGATATACAAAAATAGCCATTAGATAGAGTTGTATGCAGTAATTGACGTAAACAGTGCCGTCATTAGAGTTTGTGGGGCCTACGATAAAAATAGATATGAAAATCTTTAATAATCTCATTACATTATTAATTAATCGTTGTATGTTGCCACGTTGTATAGTGCCACATCGAATATTATTACTTTGTATATTATCAAAAAATATAATATATAGATTGAATTTCATTTAATTAATTTTTATAAAATATGCAAGACTAAGTGTAAGACCAATGAAACGTTGTATTTATCCATCGCTATTGGCGGTACTGGACGTAAGAATTATCAAAGCTGTTTATCGATAACAAATAAAACTTCGGTCAGTATCTTCTTCGACTTCGGACGCTTTTGGTCAGTGCTATCCGACATGTTTGCTATACATATCATAAAAATTTCCTATTACGTGCAAAACGTAGTTAGTTAACAAATAGCAATGTAATCTTGCCAACAATTTTCGGTACTTCGAATTTGCTCGATAATTGTTTTTCAAGAGCCACGATTGCGTTCTTATCTCTCAAGTCGATCGACCTTATCGCGATTGCCAGATTAGCGTTAATCGGATGAGTGTTCCCGGCAGTGTCAGACAGTGAACGTATCCCGTCTGTCATCTGAAAATGATCACCGCGGTCCAGGCGAAACTTGCCTCGATGATCGCTATCGGTGCCGGTAGCTTCATCGTCGGCGTTGCACCATCATGTTTTGTATCGCGCGTACGTTATCTACAACAGAAACTGTTGCTTTCGTGCACTCTTTGTTTTGGTGGCGGTGTTTTGCTTGCGACCGCGATTCTTCACATGTTACCGGAAATCCGTGAGTCTATGCCGGATTACGCGGAGCTGTTATTCTCTTGTGGTTTTCTTCTTTTGTACCTCATAGACGAGACTGTTCACTACTTTTGGAACACCGACGACCAGCGCGTACAGCAATCGAACTCTAGGCCCTGCGACTGGAGCACGGCAAGTCAAGTGTACGTATGATCTTTTCAACGTAGTTCAGAAAATCGAAATATTTGCGAAATTCTTTTGCGTAAGCTTACGACAGCCGAGAGTCTCGAGGAGATTCGAGATACGTGATTGTCAATGCGTTGTGTATAGATAAGAATGGTTCGACTTTGTCTGATGATAGAGACAATTCTCTATCTTTAATTGTGGAACACGACGTGCTTAACGCTGTTATTTCTGATTTTCTGGACAATTTTTTTGATAATTAGGGTATAACGTAGGCTTCTGTTGGTTAGGGGAAAGGTAGGGGGGAGGAGTTTCTCGCCACTTTCGATCTTCAGAGAACCGGGAAGATCCAGGGAGAGTCAAGAAGATTCAGGTGAAATCCAGATTCCGTGAAAAGATAGGACTAGCCACGGGATCGAGAAAGCTGGAAAAATAAAAAAAAAGTCAGAGAAAGTCAGAAGAGTCAGGGAGAGCCAGGGAGAGCCAGGGAGATCCAAGAAGAGCTGAGGAGATCCAGGAGTATTTTAAATTAATTCTAAGGAAAGCTAAGACGGGCAAAATGATAAAAAAAAGTCAGAGAAAGTCAGAAGAGTCAAAGACAGTCAAGGAGATCCAGGGAGATCCAGGGAGAGCCAGGAAGAGCTGTGGAGATCCAGGAGTATTTTAAGCTACTTCTAAGGGAAGCTAAGGCAGGCATAATGACAAAAAAAGTCAGAAAACACCTAGCAGAGGCAGGAAGAGTTAAGGAAAGCCAGGATATCGGGGAGAGCCGAGGAGAGCCAAAGAGGTCTAAGGAGATCCAGGAGAAACTCAAAGGGATTGAAAGAAAGCTAGGACAGGGAAGAAAACTAGGAGAATAAGAGACAGCCAAGAGAGCCATAGAAAGTTAAGAAGAGCCTGGAACATTGAACTAGGGAAATTCTAAAGAATGCTGGGACAAAAGAGCTAGAAGAGTTAGCAGAAACCAAGATTTGATGAGAGCTTCTACAACTTTTCTCAGTAAAGAACACGGACAAATAAGGCGAGTGACAGGGTATTCCTTTCCCTTAATTACAGCAAGCCTAATTGTAAGTCACGCGAGTATTCCCAAGTGCATACGTATGCATAGAAATTAGATATACAGAATATGGCAACGTCGAACCCTGAGTTGGTATCGTGCTCAACAAGATAATGATAAAGTTGAATTTTTCAATTGCAGAGAGCGTTGCCGAAATCACTCACATCAGATTGGTCCTACGACAAGCAATCGGCCCGTCAGAAGTGTCTCTATATTTGACGTCAATCCGAAGGCACCATATCGTCAAAGTGTTCTCGGGAATGGAACGAGCTCTGCGTACTCAAAAAGCTCTACATATGGGGCAGTGCAATATGGACCTTCTGCGCCTACTTTCAACAATGAGGAGACCTTCTTATGCCATGGGACTCATTCGGAACCGTGCGCCAATAATACCAATACTAACCTTATGGGCCTTTTGTTGGCACTTACCGTTCACGCTGTTCTCGAGGGATTGGCGGTCGGCTTACAGAAAGTAGTGTCTGAGGTGTGCAGTAGCAATAAATTGTAGATAATTTAATGTACGTAATTTGACTATATTAACATTAGGTGAATGTTGCTCCTAAATTTATTAATTCTGGATTTATGTTAACTTTAGAGTTATTATTAGTCGTAGATGAATATTAATCTTAAATGGATATTACTTCTAGATAAATATTAAAATGGAACCCCGGAATAAATTCTGAATGATAAAGTTTCTTATGCTTCATTCAATTTTTATTTTCAGGTATTTCTACTGGTTGGTGCAGTAGCCTCTCACAAGTTCGTGGTCGGTTTTTGTTTAGGATTAGAATTAGCTGGAGCCAATAATTCTCTTCTTAGGATAATATCAGCAATTTTTGTGTTCTCTGCTGGGTCTGCAGTTGGCATAGGAATTGGAATGCTGACGTTCAAAGTAAGTATCTTCTTCCGTAATTCAACCAAGGATACGCAGTTTCGTCCTAATACAAATGTGAAGTAATGAAGCTTAATAAAATAAAATTTATATAGATGGACAACAAATGGACGAACATCGTTCTACCCATTTTACAAGGTTTAGCTGGAGGAACCTTGTTGTACGGAACGGTTAGCGAAATTTTGCCAAGGGAAAGAGCAAGATGGCATAACAGCGAGCGTCGTTGCGCGGGTATTTTACAATTTTTCTCTGTGATCCTCGGTTTTGTTCTTATTTACGTTCTGAACAATTACGTGGGCTCGTAAATTCGATACGTTTTTTCAATTTCTTCAGAATAAAGGTAAATGTCTAGGTAAATGTCCCTATACTAGTTGTGAGACATCCTGTATAAGTACACATACATATGTATAATCTCGTGATGGTCAATAAAGAGGTCGTCACTCATTTTTTTTATAAATTGCATTGACAATCAATTGACATAAAAAACTTAGAGTGATCAGTATCTCATAAAAAAGTTTGTATATGTTGGTCGAAAAAGCTCGTTTTTAAACGATCACGTTCTTACATGTCCGATAATAGGATCATTTACCTAAGTTGTATGGAAATTGAAGTAATTTAATATCCGTTGGTATTCAAAAAAACGACACAAGTTTCTAGAATCAATTTGCTCAAGAGCCATTTTATTAAAGTACAAGAAGTAGGGAGGGAGAAAAAGAGAATGTGTAGAATTAGAATGCAGCAAAGAAATCGATATAATGTTTTAATTTACCGTTCATTCTACCTTTTTTGCACGTCTGCAATTTATTCTCCGAGAAGAATAAATGAGCTGCTGTATCGACAGCTTGAATTTTTGTATATAATAGATTTAATAAACGATATTTTTTAATATGTGAAGATTGTATAGGGCGTTCGCAGAAAATATTCATTTCTAAATAAATCAATGTTAACCTTCGAATTTATATATTAAAAAAAATAAAGTTTTGATTAAAAAAAGTCGAAGAATTTTCGAAATGCAAAGTTTTAATTTTGTAAATGTACAAGCTTCTAAATTTTCAGATTTAAAATTGCGAAAATTTTGGGCTTTGGAAACTTGTAAATATGAGGATTTTGAGATTTCGAAATTTCAGAATTTGAAAATTTGGGAAATTTAAGAATTTAGAAGTTTAGAATCAAGGTTTTGGACCTTTGAACGATTTTATATTATTTGTTAATCATCCAATGCAATTTTATAAAGATTTGTACGATGAATTAAGAAAATAAATAAATGTCGGTAAAATATTATACGAATTTCACCTTTTTATCCTATTGCATTTTCTCAGTACAAAAATTTGAGTATTTATAAGATTAGAAAGAGTGGAATTTATTATTTTAATAATTGAATTTCAATAAACTGATTTAATTAAATGAACGTCGAAATAAAAATATATGGTGACAGTCTTAAATAATTATTTTTATTTTTGAAAAGATTTAAAATTTCATTTGATTCATACAACACATGGTTTACACAATGAAGAAAGGTCTTACTAACTATAATACGTTCATGAGAATACTGACATTATATAATGCATTTGTAAAATTGGTACGTATTAAATTTCATGATCAAATGTAAATAATTTTAACGAATGCAGAGTCATTTTGATCTGAACACAAAAGTGAAATATGCATTTAAATTATGAAGCATTTATAATTTATATCCGATTAGCGTACTTAAATGTAATATAAATTGTACAGTATATTCGTATATATACATTTCGTTCTTTTTTATGCATATGTACGTCGTAATACTTAATAAATATACTATTTACATTCAAACAAAATTTTAATTTACATGTATATGGTGGAGTTTTAAATATGTGTCAAAATGACTCTGCAATTGTTTTCAATTGCAATGAATAATCCTCCTATTATGTTTACAAAAAATGTTCACTAATTGCATAATCTTTTAACAAATAGTAGTGAAATAATTCTTCCGAAAAAAAGAGAGGGAAAATATAAAAATTTAATTCCAACGAAGTGCAAAATAGAAAAGTTATTATAAATCGAAAGGTGTGTCGCCTAGACCCGAACATAGTAGGAGGGTTAAATATTTGTTTTTCGTTTAAATCGGAAATTTTAAATAACGACGATCCTATTCCTCTCTCGGTATGCGTCTTTCTCTTCCTTTGATACATAGGGATTCTTCAGGGGATTTAAATTTAATCTAAAATAAATAAAATATGAATGATATCAGTATTAAAAAATGTACTGTGTATAAAAATGTATCAAAAATATACATTACTTACTATAATATAATATTATACTATATAACACTTAATAATATATAATTTATTATAATAATAGTATAATGAGACTATATGAAATAATAATATTCACATATTATGCATGATAATACTTATGTATATTCTTATTTGATATTTACGTATCATACATGTGTGATATATATTTTGTATCTTTTTTACGTTGTAATTTTTCTATATTTTCAATATTTCCTATTCTATTCACATCATAACCATTAAACATGATCAATGTAAACTTACTTTTGAGATTTGAGAATTTGAGAATGTGAGAATTTGTAAGAATATTGAAAAACTGAATAAATATTTAAAAATTGGAATGTGTTCAATATTTTCTATTTTGTTCACCTTACAATCATTAGTTTTATTAGACAAATATTCAAGAAATTGCCTGAAAAACTAATCGCAAGAAAACTATGAAACAAGAAACGCGCGGTTATTGTTATATAACACTTCGTGTCTATTTTTTCCAACAGCAGGGTAAATGTACTTGACCGTTTATATTACGGACGAAGGAATTGATCTATATTCAAGTAATTTTACTTTTGGCATTAATGATATGTGGTATAGATTACATACTCAATGCATTTTTATGTCGCTTATCTTAGCAGCAAAAGTTAATAAAAATAATAAATTTTAATATTTATAATAACAATTTGTTAAATAAACAATTGAAAAATTAAAAATTTGAATAATAAATGTCGATATTACAAATACAGGTATGAATAACGCCATTACCCGCTATTGGTGGATTATATGATAGCTGATTGGCTACTGTAAACGACCAATAACTTTTACACTTGAAGAGGTTAAATGTTATTAGTTGTGTTTCGGGAGTCGAGGAGGTCGGACCTGCCCTGTCAACACTTACCGGTACGAGTCAAGGATTTACTTAAGCGATACTGTGCTTGTCCCTGTGTTACCTAGCGTTCTTTAATAAGTGTTTTGTGTGCTTTAACAAATATTTTTTAATAAATATGGGGGTGTATTACCAAATTTTATGGTGTGATTCTACAAGTGTCAGTGACTTTACCTGTGTGTTTCCTTAAGTGATTGTGCATGTATGTACATATGGATACATTAGTGTGTTTTATAGTATTATACAAATGTTTTACCGTTATTTTTTAAATATTTTACTGGGTTTTATGGTGTTATTACCTATGTGTTTTTACAAATTTTTGTGAACGTTTAATGAGTTTTATGGTGTGGTCATCTACGTGTTTTGACATGCTTGTGCAAGTGTTTTAATGTAATTTACTGCGTAGTTGTAGAAGTGCTTTATCGTTATTTTTTAAATATTTTACCGGGTTTTATGGCGTTACTACTTACGTGTTTTTACAAATTTTTTAAACGTTTTAATTTATAATTGTGCATGTGTATACGAATATGTTAGTGTGCTTTACCGTTACTTTTAAAATATTTGACTGGTTTTTACGGCGTGGTTACCTACATGTTTTGACATGTTCGTGCAAGTGCTTTTGGGTAATTTGTAGTTTAGATGTACAAGTGCTTTACCGTTATTTTTCAAATATTTTACCGGGTTTTATGGTGTTATTGCTTACGTGTTTTTACAAATTTTTGTGAATGTTTTAATTTATAATCGTGCATGTGTATACGAATATGTTAGTGTGCTTTACCATTACTTTTCAAATATTTTACTGGTTTTTACGGCGTGGTTACCTACATGTTTTGACATGTTCGTGCAAGTGCTTTTGGGTAATTTGTAGTTTAGATGTACAAGTGTTTTACCGTTATTTTTCAAATAATTTACTGGGTTTTGTGGTGTCATTACCTACTTGTTTTTGTAAATTTTTTAAACGTTTTAATTTATAATTGTGCATGTGTATACGAATATGTTAGTGTGCTTTACCGTTACTTTTAAAATATTTGACTGGTTTTTACGGCGTGGTTACCTACATGTTTTGACATGTTCGTGCAAGTGCTTTTGGGTAATTTGTAGTTTAGATGTACAAGTGTTTTACCGTTATTTTTCAAATAATTTACTGGGTTTTGTGGTGTCATTACCTACTTGTTTTTGTAAATTTTTTAAACGTTTTAATTTATATTTGTGCATGTGTATATGAATATATTAGTGTGTTTTATAATGTTGTACAAGTGTTTTACCATTATTTTTTAAATAATTTACTGGGTTTTGTGGTGTCCTTACCTATGTATTTTACAAATTTTTGTCAATGTTTAGTATATTTTACTGTGTGGTTACCTACGTGTTCCGTTATATTTTTGCAATCGTTTTAACATGTTCTCTAAGTAATTACCTAAGTGTTTTGGCATACATTTTCAAATGTTTTACAATATTTAACGGTGTTGCTATTGATAAACGTTTGCAAATTTATAACCGAATTCTGTAATGTAGTTATTTTACCTTTGTATGTTAATCAAAATGCAAATCGATAAATGCAGTTAATTAACCGTTGTCATTCTTTTATGATTACAGAAGGTCACACCAACTTCACGGACAAACCGCCAAATCCAAATCTGATGAACGCAGCCAATCAATCAATCAAACAGTCAATCAACCAAGCAGTCAATCAACCAAGTAGTCAATCAACCAAGCAGCCAGTAAATCAGACGCTTTGCCGGTAAAACGCAGCGGCGATCGGTGAGTCGCATGCTTTATGGTTCCTCCGGTTCCCATCATGTCGTAGGACGAATGGTCCGAAGCGACACGGGAACTGGTTGTATTTTTCTATCTTTGAGCGAGCATAGTGACCACGACTGTACGATCGTGCAAAATTCGTACAAACTGTTTATTTTATTTATTAGATCAGGTCAGGGTTTTCTTGTACATTTCTCTTTTTAACGAATCAAATTTAAAACTACATAGAAGTCGGATGACCCTCCGATTTCATATTAATTCAATAATAGAGTCACTTTTAAATTTTTCTACATTTTTATCAATTTTATCAATTCAATATTTTCAAACATGTACAAGAAAGTTTCGCGGAGAACAGATTTCGATATCAAAGTTAATTATGAATGTTTTTAATCATTTAGTATATTCACTTTGATATCAGAAATCTGTTAAAAATGAAATGATCGATACTTAGATTTTTGCAAAGTGTTCTCCATTTTCCATTTTGAAAACTTAGAGTCAATTTTTTTGGGAGACACTTTATTAACATGTTCTTAATCAAGTTTTTTAGCTCAGGATTTTCAGCACACATGAAGAAAACTGGTAAGTCCAACTACTGTTGGCCGTGTTCATTTTTATGCTCTAATCTCATGCGCGTGCTTAGATGCTACTCGCATGAGTTAGGGCAGGTGGACACGATTTAGTTTTAAGATGTTTTGGCGATCGACAAATTGGCAGTGAATT